TTCGAAGTGATAAGTGACACAAAACGAGATTTCGCGATGCTTACTTTTCCTCTAACAAACTGAATCAGGTGGTCTAATGACAGGCATGCTGACAGAAAGGATAGTTTACGATCGCCTAATGTTTAACGCTGAAAAGCATTCTGAATCACGAGACCACGAGTCTCACTCTAGCTAGGCAGTTCAAATTTCCAAATTACACTTTTTTGTTACTTTGTACTAACCTTCGCCGTTGTCCACTTTTTTCTTCGATTTCCACAACTTCAGGTAAAAGATCTCTGCTAAGATCCCGAGAAATACAAGACCCAAAAAAACTCCTAGAATGGTGAACAGGAACAGATGTGTGGAGCGTGACTTACCGGAAAACACGCTCATGAAGTCACTATCGGAGTTATACACCTGCAATAAAATAAATAGAGATATTGGGCAAGGGTCTAAGCTACACTCTTCAGTGTATCTGATACACTCTACAGCGCATCATCATCATTTATCTTTTATCATCCTCGGGGGAAAATAGGGCGTCTATCAGTTCCCTCCAACCCACAAGGATCTTCAGTAGCTAATGCTTTGGCTTTCTCACAGGAGAAGCCCACTCTTTCTACATCCTGTATTGTATCATGCAGATAGGAGTAGGTAAAGGATAAGCAAGGGAAGGGCGCTAGGCAAGCTTCTTCATCTATAAACTACAGGATGCTAAGCCAAGAGGGTTCATTCAATGAGCAAAATATTGGCCCATCATAATTAGGAGCCAGTGACAAACTGGACGTGGCTTCGTATGTGCCAATCGTTTCTGAAAATATCGTGATAGGATTCCTTCCCGGTTGTCCGCGCCATTTAGGACCTAATAATAGCGAGGGGTTTCACCGAACAGGGTTGCAATTTGTCTTTGTATGTTACTTACCGTGACAGGTTGGAGATGATTTATGAGAAGTTCGTTCACAGCCTGTCCGTCAATCCGCCTTTCAAAGCAGGCGCCCTCAGTTGTCAATTCTTTTATTGGGTCGCGGTCACGAATCGCAACATAATATGGAATATCTGCGTCGAAGCCACGAAACATCTTGAATCTCTCGTTATTCCTTTCGGCGAGGTAGTGACCCACTTTGTACTTGTCCATCAGAATGCCGTCTATCTCATTATTCTCAAGCGCTTCAAACATGGAGTCAACTGATGTAAAACCTGAAACCAATGCACCTTATCAAATTATTACCTGCCCGTTGGTAATGGATGGTCCTAGATTTTGTTTTGAAAGCATTTGCCTGCTCGAATTTTGACCCCAGTACACCGAGTAATATTGCACATGGAGATTGCACGCAAGGAAATTCATCCGTGAGTGACTCTAGCTTGGTTAACCTCACAAGTGCATATTTAACTTATGTATTTACAAAGGTGCGCCCACCTGGCGCTGGGTTTTTTCGACAGCCGATTGTCGTTTGCACTTGACAAGTCCTTCGTCCCATTTAATTCTTCTGATTATACACCTGACTATTACTGGTGAGGTCAAAGACAGGAAAATGTATATCACATATTGAGCTACCGACCTACCTTTCACATCCGCTCCTTTTATCTTTGCTTCTATTCTCGCTGATGTGAGGTTAAGCGCACCAATCTGAAAGTGAATTTAAAAGGCGATTTGCATGATGGCGTCATTTGACTACAACTACCAGAATCCTTCACTATTTTGTCTTTGTTATTCCAATTGGGGCAACTGTTATATAAAACCCACTGGGGCTTCAAAATTTAAATAATAAAGAAAAACCAAAAGGATTTCCGGTAATTGTACTCAAATGATGGCAAAGTGCGAATCTACTATTATAGCTTCGGCGGCCTGAAGGGCTGCCAAGCGGAGCCCCATATTCATAGAGGTGAGAAAAGGAAACCCATGAATTGATTTTCTCGTGGTTATCTTGGCTAGCGGTATTGCTCGTGGGCGCGCTCTACAAAAGGCGGCGGAGTTGCCTAAGAAGGCGACCATACTCTAGCTAATAGGTTGACATGCAGCCTTGGCTTATAGCGTCCTTCTTTGATATTGAACATCCATGTTATGGTCAATTGACATCTGTCAAAACAAGGTATCCGCTGACCTTTATCACGTGACCATGTCGCGGACTCAAGCTTAGATCTCGTAACGTAACGTATTTTTTTAAATTGGCCGCTGACCAAGTGCTGGTTTTCGATTGGATCGTGGGCTCATGTCAAGTTGACTTGTTGTTATAATATACATGAAAAAATTACTGGATTCTGATTGGCTGAGAGCAGTGCAGTTCAAGTGTAACACCAGTGTAAAAAGTGTAGCCCCAGTGCAAAAAGTGTAACACCAGTGCAAATTACACTTTGAAAAAAGTTTTCTCGAATGAGGAAAAATGGCTTCAAGAAAGATCTCCCGGCATTCCTCCACGCGAATTTTTTCATGTTTATATTATTGATAAGTAATCATACGGTTTTTCCCNCTAGCAAGTTCATGCCCCCACGGAAACAGATACCTACTCAAGAACTTTGTGATCAAGCAACACAATCTTTTAGTTACACGCGATTTGTTTTTACATTCCATAGCAACTCTCGCATCTGTTTTTGCATCTCATAGCAACTGATTTTTTTTTTACATAACAACTGTTGTTATATCACATAGCAACCTTCGCTTTTAACTGCCAGTTCTTGTAATTTAACGGTCATTCGTTGATATTGCCTGATGAGTGTAGTCATTCTTTGCCAGTTTGTCCATACGAAACAGCGTTGTCGTAATAAAACGGTGAATTGAAATCTTGCTACCATTGACCATTATAATTACTGCCCCTCTCAGGGTTGAGCGCTCCCAAAGATTTATTCTATTCAAGTTCAAGAAGTATGTATGTATGTAATGTATTTTACTTACCAACATCCAGACACATATTCCTGAGATTCCAGCGATAAGGAGAGTGAAAACGAATATGGGCCAGGTGTTTACAAGCAAGGTATCAAAGACAATGTCATTGGATTTTTGGTTGAAATTTTCGACGTCCATGATGAGCGAATATCCGGAGGATTTTATGAATACCTCAAATATCAAAAGTGGTCCCAAGTAGCTGTCACCAGACAAAACCATCTTCATTGGGGCTGTTATTGGGAAGGCGATATCTGTTGTATTTCCCTCTATGGCCGATACGAAGTTTGCTGTAGAGTTAAACAGGCTCTTTTCGATCGTGACATTCCTGGATACTGATTTGCATTCTGGAGTATCTAGAAAACATTTCTTTTGAATTTCAGTGAAAAACTCTCCCAATATGCCTTCCACCTCACCGGACTTGAACTCGGTAAATGGAGGATCGTTGAGAATAGATATCCTAATTCCAGTTCGTGGAATAGGACAAGTGCCAGTGCGAGGCGGTGGGGATGCCGAAGACGTTAGGACTGGCTTCCAAAACAGTACAGCGGTACATATTAAGGCTGCTGAACTGCTCCACGCTGAGGTCATCTTCTGTGAGGCAGCTTTTCTGATCTTTAAGACTGCAAGAGCAAACCAAGTCAGTAATTCTCTAAGAATGGAGCTTCCCAGAAATGTTAACTAGATTACACTAATATAATTGA